CAAAGAGGCAGTCCTGAGATCATTTTAATGTCTGTTCTTGAATTCCTCCATGATTTAACAAAACGAATGGAGTTGACTTACGCTAGAGAGAACAGTCACATTCGCATTGTCCCTAGTATTCAAACCATTGCTATGCACCCTGTGCTGAATCCTTGAGTAGTGAGTTGCATTGCTTAGACATTCGAAAAGGTGGTGTATTTGAGTTCGGATATCTGAAGTTCTGTTTCATCAGAACGACCCTTTTGCAAGGCATCACAGGAGTGAAGATGCGTGTATTTTTTTAATTTTATTTAATTGGGTTTGCCAGTTTAATGCTAGAAAATAGGAATTTGTCAGTGGTCTAACAACCTGTCAATGCGAAGATTTGCCGTAATCGCAAAGTGACAGGGTCCTTTCTGAGTATTTTTATTCGACAAAATGCCTTGCTTCTAATGACTTCGCTTGGGGAAAACGGTAAGTCGAAACAATTACGAAATAGCCTAGGACGAATATCACAACTTAGCCTGCAAATCAATCTCGTTTGCCTTAAAATAGAAACATGTTATGAGCTTGATTCTTTGCACACATGGTGCACAAGTAGCTCAACAGGAATGTATACTCCCAGCGATATCGTATAGTTTTGATTCAGCGAGAGAAATCTGATGGCTGAAGTGATAAAAAGCATGCTCATTTTCGAACCCCAAGGATAGAATGGTGATAAGATTAGACAAATACAGTGTAATGTGTATAGTATGTTTCTTTGCATCTTTTTGCACATTTTCTAACAGAGTTCAGTTGCTATACAGACATCATGTTTCATACCGGGTAAATCGAAAAAAAATGAACATTTGATTTGTCTCTCTCTCCACAAACAATCAAGAAGATTTGATTATTTGGATCTTTTGTCAATCTCGTATTGACACACGTACAAATATACCTTTGTTGGGTGGTTGTGGATGAGGATACTGCGAGAGAGAGATGTGTGTGTGGGGTGGGTGGGTGATAAGCTGAGTTGACTGTTTCTGTGTGTGATCTGTGACGCTTGTGAAAAATAAATCAATAGTGCTCGGGATTCAGGCCCAGGTAACAGTAAGTCGTCAGTCGGAAGAAATAACACGAGACCAGCTATGTCCTGAACACTATCCTCCCTCTCTCTATCTGTGGGCCGGTGCGGGAGAGTGTGTAACACAAACTTACAGTAACATAACTTTCACAGGAAATTCTTTCGAAACTCTTGAGCAGATGCGTGTGTAGGTTCGATAGAAGTGTGTCAGAACTTCTATCTCTTCTATCTGTAGATGAGCTCCTTGGAAAAATATTGTTAAGAACGTCCCAGTTTGACGAGACTCGACCGCTGTTTCATTGGGGTTGCATCATGCTTACGCGTGTTATACGTCTTACTGGAGGTGCCGTCTTATTGGTTGAATGCTTGAGGTCATCCTCCTTTGCATGGTGAACCTGTGCCCATTCAGCAACCGCCGCCATAAAAATTCCTGTTACCTTGAGAACATAATTAACCAATTTAAGTGGAAGCACTGACTTAGGAGACCAATCATATGAATAAATAACTGTGTATTTTCTGCCACGGTTCCTGTCGAAATGATCGCTAACCAGGGTCGAGTGACAACACAGTGGCGATGGGGTTTCAACAGCAGCAGCAGCGGCATCACAGATTTCTCTTGTGACCCATAAGCTTATAATATCACTGTTGACTTTTGGTACAACCGGACTGACAACGTATTTGGTCAGTCAAATTGATGTATGTAAGTTTGGAGTTATCTCGCTCAAACTCGCCGAATAGAACACGAACGATATGCCAATTTCATTCTACCTAAGAATGCAATGGAAATCAATTTTGCAAAAATCGTCCAGATTCTGGAAAAGATTTCCTCGAAGCAAGCATCCTTATTCACTGTCTGACTTTCTTGTCTTCGTTTGGCTAAACGGGAGTCCGACAACTTAATCTTGTATTGTTGATCTTGTGTATGAGTGGTTTCAGATTGTCTCGCTCTCGGAGGAGCAGCTCAGATATCCTCTCTTTATATTCGGCCTACCCTCACCTACCCTCACCTAATGAATTAACATGTCTCCTGACAAAGGTGCAGCAGAATATCCAGAACTCACACAGAAGTGTTAAGCTTTGATCAGTCTAAAACATAACTCCATGATGAGCTAGAATATTGCTACATCCAGTTCAACTGTACGACTGACATGCCCCTATTTCGATCAGTCTTCCCAAGAAAATTGCCACCTTTTTTTCCTATCACCAATGTGGTTGTGGCATTTTCATCGATATTGTTGCTAGCATTGCAATCGACCGGATGATCGTGATAGGTTCCGCCATTCACGGTCTGCTAACACAAAGAAGTCTATCCCCACTACCTCCACTCCGAGGGGACGCCTGAGCTCTCGACCGTTTTCGCGGCAATGGATCTGAACAAGGTCCGAGCCATTTAACTGAGGTCAGCTCCCAAAGACGCCTCAGGCTATCATAGTTATTTCTCGGAAGCGGACTCCGGTCGCAAATAACTTCGGTCAAAATGACAATGAATCACTGGTACTCATTTTTAATGTTGAAAAATTCCTTAAGGTACTGTATGGTCAGTATTTCACCCTGCTAACTGACCGTAAGTCATTACTGTTAATTTTTGGTTCCAACAAAGGCATTTTGGTCCTTTCGGCCTGTCAACTTCAGCGATGAGCAACCATCATTCTCACATATAATTTCGATATTCTCCACTTTCGCACCACCGATTTCGGTCAAGCTGATGCACTTTCACCCCTCATCTACTATCACATGATGACGTTATCATAGATAACAATTCGATCGAAGATGGTGTACACGACTAAATTTCAAACTCTACGATCCACACTCCTGTTACTGTTGCCAATATTCGACAAGATACTGGCCTGGACCTCATTCTCAAACGGTGTATCTCTTATGTTCAAACGAGCCTCATTGTGGAGCCCGCCAACTGTTTCCTTGTTGTAAATCACTATCGATGGTTGATTCTTGTGTATGTGGATCACTTCGTGATTCTTGTTCCCCTCTAACCCGCTATGCTCTGTCAATTCCATAA